GGGCTCGGCGGCGCACGGGGTGCGGGGCAGGGTCGGCCCCTGCCGCTCCGGTGGCGGCGTTCCCGGCTCGGTGCGGTGAGAGGGGGCAGCTTCGGCACCCTCGCGGGCCGGCGCCGGGTTCTCCTCAGGCCCTTCCTGCGCGGGGAGGATGGCGCAGGTCCCCCCACGTGCCTCTCTGTCGCGCTGTGGGCCGCGGCCCTCCGTGCTGCCGCCGAGGGCGTTGAGCACGGGTTCGAAAGCAGCTGGCGGCTCAAGGCAGCTCCATCAGTCTTCGGGGAGAGGCCCTGCCGCAGCGCAGCAGCCCGAGGGCCTAGGCCTCAGCCTGTCCGAGCTGTTAAATCTAAAAGGGTAGTAGCAGGAGGAGGAGAGGGGGACGTGCTTAGTGAGTAGCACCTAGCGGGAGAAGGAGGTTACAGGATCCCTCACGGGGTGCAGGTGGCCTGAATGATGCAGACATCGTGGTCTTAAAGGTCCCTTCCAACATCGAGGTTATTTTCATTTTGGGCAGGAAGGAGCCCAGAGTGCTGGGGTGGGATGAGGAAAAGGTGACACGCAACTGGGACATAAGTACCCTGGTGGTAGGGGGAAGGAGGTGGAGGAAGAATTGTTTCAAAAGGAGTGAAGATGTGGGACGTTTTACAACTACATCTGGCAAAGCACTAGTGACTTTAGGCAAAGTTCTGTGCTAAATTCGGTAGATGTACTGGAGATGAGGCCTTTGATAACTAATCGTACCTGTAGTAATACTTGAAGAGGTAGTGCTGAGTAATATAGGACAGAGTTTTATAGTTCTGCAAGATACTGTAAAAATGCATTTTGCTTCAAGAAAACAAGTGTCCACCCAATAAGTAGTGAATTACAGGGTGGGTTCAATTTTGGACCTTTTCCATCTCAGCAATGACATACAACATGGATGAGAGATACATAGTACTCTTTGATTTAAAAAATAGTGTGTCTTGAAGCATGTAACTTTCCCAGGATGAATGAAATATCTTCAAGACCTTGTTTTTTTTGTTTGGTTTTTAATCCTGTGCTAAATAAAATGGTCTTTGACACACTGAAATTTAAGCCAGTTTGAATTTTCTGTTGTTACTTAGTGTTTTCAGGATTTTAAAAACAATGCATGTTTACACAGAGTTGTTTTTCATGTATCGCTAGTTGAGAAGTCCTATTGTATATTTGCATAAGCTATTTTAAATCTCTGATGGATTAGAAACAAGCCTCAGTGCTTCCCAGCAGTCCTGATCTATTACTGATTTAACATCTTCGCAGACTTTACAGGCAATGCTCAGAATTCATGGAACACACTGATTGGCTACATTTACTATCCTTTTTTAAAAAATCAGTAAACATTGCTTGAATTGTGAGTAGTTTAGCCTGTACAGAGCTATTGTGTATTATGTATGTAGAGCTGCAAACACAGGACATTTGTTACAATACGTGAAGAACAAAATTACTGACAATCACTCATTGGAAAAGTTTGTAATGTATGTATTTATCTTGGTTGGTGTAAACAATGCAATGGCATTTCATTAAGCAATGACAAGTGTTGAGGAATATAGTAAGAAATCACAAGAGCATGTTATTACATGTGGGATTAACAGGGCCACAATGGTGAAAAATGGGCACTGCTTTTACTACTGATGAGGTGGCCTGACCTGCGGAAGTTTGTATTTTGAAGAAGAAGAATGGAACAATTTTTGGGTTTTTTGCTTTGAAACAGGAAATTGGTTTTAGAATTAAGGTGCTGGAGAGTGGAGTACACAAATAGAACATCTTCTGCCTGATAGTCAATAATAGGCTACGGAGAAGCACATAGTTTACCCTGCATGTCATTTATCCCTTTTCCAAATACCCAAGTCACACAAATTAAAAAATATCCATTGGCAATAAACATGACGTTCTGTTTTTTTTTCTCCCTTTCTTTAGTACTCACTCATCAATCTGCTTTACTACTGCACCTCACAGTTCTGCTTTGTCTGTTTTAGAGATTGCTCTACAGTTACTGCCCTTTGTGGAGCTGGAAGTACACAGAGCTTGACGGTGCTTGGGATCAGCGAAGACACTTGAGCTGGAGCCTCCTTGGGTTAAAAGCAGAGGTGCCGCTGACACGATGCTCTGGGACAGAGCCTGTCACCTGCAGCTGCCATTCCCTGGTGGCCCGGCAGGACCTGGGGCCTTGGGGCACGTGGGGGCATGGGGCCATGTCCGGCTCTTGGGGAGGGCAGGGCTCTCGAAGCACAGGCCTTGTGCTTGGGCTGCTTTTTTCCAGACGTGTTTTGAAGGCTCTGGAAGTAGGATGTTCTGTTTCACATCCTGGATCCAAATGAAAATGCAAATAACTTGCGCTAGCTGGCTGTTAGTGGGTGAGGCAGGATGAGGCTGGGTGGCCATGCAGTGCTGTTAGGTTTATGATGGTGATGGCAGAGGGAATGTGAGAGCTGTTGAAACACGCCTGCTGCCTTGCCAGTGGGATTTGCTGCAAGGGCTGGAGCAGCCTTTGATTAAACCCTTGGTACAGAAGGCCCAGCAGAGGCCCGTCCCAGAGTGTCTTCCCTTGTCTCCTGCTCAAGTGTCCTACAGGGAAGTTGATTGAGCAAAAGCCCTGGCCTACACGCCAGCCTTCCTCCTTTGACAGGGACACTCTGGAAGTTGGGCACCTTGTATATACGTTTGGGACTGCTGCCTTGGTTTTCTGAGCCTGATAGACAGGACTGATAAAGATATTTCTTTCCTTAATGACCTATCTGGATCTGGAGATCCTTGGGAGAAGCTGCCTATGCATGCTCAGTTTTATCCTTCATAGCGTGCTGACACCCGCTCTTAGCAGTTTGAACTTTTCCTGTGTTTATGCAGTCCTTATTTTTATTAGTGTTGATCAGTAAGGTCAGGCATCCTTTGCTCTGAAGCTGCATACCCATCCATTCCATCCTGAAATTGCCAGCTTTGGAACGGCTTGGATTGGTCTTTGGCAGCAGTCCTTGTTCTGTCCCTTCACCCTTCACCTCCGTGGTTTAAGGTCAGACCTGGCAAAACTCTTCGCAGTCCGGCAGCGGGAAAGAGGTCACCATGTACAGGACATGGGGCAGTGGACAAGAAGCAAGTCAGTAAGCAGTGGCTTACTGACTTCTCTGGTGCTGATTTCCTTCATCACACAGGGCACTTTCTTGAGGGGTCTGGAGCTACATACAAGGATCTCATCACATCTAAAACAATTTGGGCTGTACGCCCTACACAAACGTAGGATTTCCTACCTTTAGCACCTCTTGGTCATGTATGTAATTCCTGTACCACAAGCTGTTTATGTAGCCTTACGGAGAAGCAAGCACTTGCAAAAGATGTGACAGCCTGTCCTAAGAAATACAGTTAATAGGCGATACAGATGATAGCCACTCTATGTTGATGGCTACCATAGACCTTTCAGATAACTAACCTTCAGTGAGGTGGATTGGGCATCTCCCTAAGGGTTGCATACTTCCCCCAGGTAGTTGGTGAAGGCTCTTCTCCCAGTCTGTCCATAGTAGTTACTGGCAAGCAGGAGCACCTCTGTCTGTTGGTATCAAACTGCTCTCGGCTTTGCCTTTCAGCTCCTCATGTAGCTTAAGCTGTTCCAAGGTGGGCTGCTGACACCAGAGGTGTCTGGTCCAGGTCTTCCTCTTCTTTGCTGTGCAATCCTGCCGCCTTCTTTGTAGCACCAGTTCTGCTACCTGATGCAGCTGAAAGATTAACACCACACAAAAAGCTGTTTTATTGCCATGTGAGGGGGGGAGACACACTAAGACCAACATGGATTTAGATCAGGTGCCTCAAGAAGATGCTGTGTTGCAGATGTTGTTTGGTAGGTAGCAGGCCATGAGGTTCCTTGGCAGGTAGTTGAGGCATGCCTCAAAACAAATTTTGGAGATGTCCAGCTGGACTTATTATCTCTCTTCATGGTCACCCTGAAGCTACTTAAATAGCAGTCAGGCAGTAGCTTGTGGTCACCACATGCCATTTCATAAGCCATGAAACCAAGGGATCCTTAGAATCGCCAGAAGTCAGGAAGAGGATGGCTATTCCACTCATGCCCTCAGTTGTCATGAGTATGTTTGTCCTTCAGGAGCAGGACATTATGTTAGGGGATGCAAGTATGTAGGAGTTACATATTTTTGATTTAGTTATTGTGAAGGTAAACCACCCTTATGGGTACAGGGCAGACACAGAGCGTGTGCAGGCTGCTGTTGCCAGGGCAGTCAGCAACCACGCGCGTGCAATTGAATAAAAAAATTACTTCCCTTCCTCCCCCAGCATTAATGCTAATGCAAATTAAATTTCAGCTGCAAGACAGTTTTATTCTGAGTTGGCTTCGCTGATTGTTTCTATAGGTTGACTTTGCCTGACTTGTTCCTAACTGCCTGTACAAAATGGTCTTTTCAGCTGCAACATGTCAGAGATGTTAATTCAACATACTTTTTTAAAAGCCAAGGAAATAAGAGCAGGATTCTAATGGCTTTATTTCTTCTGCCGGATCTTTTACTCTGTTCATCTAATTCAGGCACTTGATTCAAAAAGAAAGAGAGGTTTATATAAAAAATGCTTATATAAAACATAGTGGTTATAATTGTAGCTATACTGTTAGAGCTACATTTAGAATCCCCTGACTTATTAGTAGCAATTGGACTTAAGGATGCTCTGGCTAAGAAAAGAACCGAGGTTTTCTTAATTAACCAGTATTTTTCATATGGTGTAAATGACTTCTATTTTGTCTGTAAAGCATGTCTTTAATGTATTAGTGGCAAATACTGACAGACACTGAGCTTTCTTGTATGGACTGTAATCCACTTCAAGCAGATAATGGTAGTATTTTTTTCTGCCATTTTTTGGTCCCTTTTTTTAAGTTTCAACTTTGTAAGACGTAGAACTTGTTTTCTGAAACTGAAGACATTAGGAGATGCATGCTCTTTCTGAAATGAATCTGAATAATAATGGCTTAGTAACCATAGGATTATAGGAACAGGAATGTGGAAGGGAACTCTTCTCTTGCGTCAGAGCTACTTTACTTAGGCCTGTTTCATTCCTAACGTGTCTATCTAACTTTATTTTAAAACTTCCCCTTCCATTTCACGTCTTAATTTTTCAAAATACAGTAGCTGTCCTGAGGTTTCTATCATGAACAGTGTGGAGGGGGGTTATTATGAACTCTGAGCCTTGTGTTCCACGTCTGTCATATGAATGTGTCAGACTTAATCTTTATTAATTCCTGAGGGAAAACTGGAGACTAGAACTAATAAGATATTTGTATGGTAATTGTTTGTTTTGGGATGTGGTTTCTGAGAACTCATAACAAACTGAAGAGTGTTGTGCCAGTAAGAAATTTATTTAGAAATAAGCTGTTTAAACAGCACAACACCACTAGAAAATTCATAGGGGAAAAAAAAAAATCTGTTGAAGGCTATTAAATGCTCAGGCACCCTCTCA